CATCTCTGCAAAAAGAAAGAAGAAAAAAAAGCACAGGCATGTGAACAAACACATCAACATGCAGTGACTAAGTGAGCCTTGTAGAGATACACGGGGAGTTACGATTAATTTGTAACGTTAATTCGCTTTGTGTCGAGACCACTGATAGCAGTGGATTTATGCTTTGCTCCCTGTTGCTTGTGTGCGTGCTCTGGGTGATGCGTGTGTGTTTAGGGGCCTCTGGAACACCACTGCTTTACCGCTGATAGCAGGATCATGACGCTCATGTAGTCAAGTATGCCATTATCACTAAAGCGCGTGTAGATAGTCCACCTGAGTCCTCAGACATGATATTTACACATAAAGGGTGCTCAGAGATAAACAGCAGGGGGTACAGTACACTGTAGAAACAAGCTGGATACTGCTACACAGTCCAAAACACCAAAACATACGCCACGCTCATGTCGGCGCGTCTCTGCCACTGTAACATACTCCAACCTGCTGGCTTGTCGACTCAGTACAAAAGAAGTCAAGAAAAGATTAGATGATAGAGGGTGTAATTTTCTTAAATACGCACCAGCAAGTTCCCGGTCCAACATGTCGATAAAACTCTCAAGATCCCTTGTGTCTCCCAGCTTGGCTGCAGAAAGAGGACAGAAAGAAATGGAATTTGAGAAAGAAACTATAAGAAAAATAGAGCTGCAGTGGAACATTTTTGTAGAGAAAGGCAGCTCAGTTCAGTGGTAGCCTATTTCCTTTGGACCAAACGCTGAAGTTATCTAAGTCTCGGCATTACATAAAGTTTGAACTGAACACTCAAACTGAGATAAAGCTGATTTTAAGAGCTCCAAAAAAAGCCTTGGCAGCCTCGTTCCCACCAGGATCTCTCTGTTGTAAGCTTTTTCTGTGTAAAGCCAAACAAAATTGATGAAAAAATATGACTGACTCTTTCTGGTCACCTGATGTTTAACTTTAACAGTAGTCTGTGGATGCAACTGCAACAGCACTCATTAATCCACATGCGCATGCAGCCAAGAGCCGGTCTCATCACTGCATATAACAGCACAAATGACTCCACGCAGGAGCTTTGAAAGAAGAGCGCTGAGACGTCACAGCCACAGTGGAAGTTGCTTTGTTGTGTAAACCAAGACAGATTCCAGGGCATTGCAGATGCTTTCTGTGTAGCTCTTATAAAGTGATAGTGATCGCTGTATGAACTGAGGCTATCTAGATGGAGATGAGCTGATAGAAGGCTCCAGTACCTTTTGATGCCAGCGTTATTCCTGCTGTGTGGAGCTCCTCCTCACTGGTATTCAAACTGTTCCCCATAGATGGTTCACTGCCTGGGGGAAGAGAGGGAAGCAATGAGGGAGTGAAAGGAGATAACAAGCACTAAGGGCAGTCCTTGCAAATGATCAGTGACAATGACAAAACTCTAACATAATGCAGGAGTTGCACGTAATGATGATAACATGCGATAAAAAAAATTAAAAGGTAAGTGTTCGGCGCTAGTGACTCCCATGTGTCGGCCTTTGAAAGCAGTTTGTCTGTTGAATGGTTAGGGGGGCAAAATACTTTCAATAATGACGACACATGGGAGCAGAGGGGGGGGGGAACTGTTTCTTCTTTTATCTTATAACCGTCGACAAATGCAGAACAAAGGGGGGAAAGACAATTACACAAGATGGGATATCCGTAATTGCAGCTCATTCCAGTATACAGCTATTGTCACGAGCACAAACAGCCACTTTAATGGAAGTGTGTAGGGATGTGTCCTCTTGTACCACTAATTTCATGCAAATTAAATGTGTCAAGCTGCAGTTGTTTGGGCTGATAAAGGGGCTCAACTGGAGTCCACGGGGATTCCAAACAATGTCACTCACCAGCATGATGCACTAAATAATTACTTTCCTTCCCCCACACTTTGTACATTAGGCAGATATTATCTTAATCACTTCTCTAACGTATTCTTTTTTCTTTCTTTTTTTTTGAATAACTTACTGTAATCTGAGTCCTCGACTCCACTGTCTTCACTCAGCCCTGTGAGAGTTTTGGCCTCGTGCAATGCTTTCTGGTAAGCATGCGGTCTGCTTTGAGAAGGGGCCTTCAGCTCCTCCACCACATCCTGGAACTCCTGGAGCAACTCACCAAGCTCCAAGTCCAAGTCTGTGGAAAATGTGACAGCAGTTGGAAAGAAATCTTCAAGATGGACTCAGCTTATTTCAGCAGTAAAAGAAAACAGTAGAAACACTGAAATAAATATTTTTAAAGACTTGATTAAATATGGGGACCTGAGAATGTTTTAAAGGGCGTTTCAAAGATACCAAATTCCTAAACCTAAGAAATATACATTTAAAAAAAAGGAAAATCTAAAAACTACCAGCTGAAGTTTATGTCAGCGTGCTGCATCAGATAACTGGACATGTTCCCATATGGCATATAAAACAGTAGACGGACAGTAAAACACCTGGTCTGCAAAGTGTGATTAAAAATATATTTATATATATTACATCATAAATCAGAGTTGTACGCTCTCGGCTACTATAAAAACTTTTTTAGCGCCGGCACCATTATTTTAAAAATGGGTGTTGCATAAACGCAGTTTAGGTTTTCTAACATTTTATTAGGCTCACATAAATATCTCAAAGTTAAAATTCTTTTTGGAACACTAAAATTAAAACAACTTTGGTGTGTTTGGTAGATAAGTAAATACGTATGATTACAAAAAAGTACAACTACAAAAAGGATTAGGAATTTAAAATAAGTGTCACAGCGAGATGATTTTTAAATCTTCCTATAAAGCTTTTCTATCTTTTACATATATTTGTGTTTTTTTATCTGTTTAGTAAATTTAATAAAAGGCTGGGAAAACGTGCTCTATGATCCATCACTGAAATAAATTCAAATTATTGTCTCAAGCAGGCGTTGGACTCACCCATGGTGCTGTCTGAGGACATAGCGGGACGTGAAAGAAAAGCGCCACGAAGCTGCTGTGTGTCTGGGTTCAGAGCGGTTTGATGCTGACAGTACTACTGTACTTTTATTCTAAAGCCTTCCACACCCGCTCTGTGAGAGGACCTGCCCAGCCAATCATGTCACAGATTAAAAACCTCAGAGGTCGAGGGGACTGTAAGTGGAAATGGGGAGGGGGCGGAAAGTAAAACGAGGTTGTTACGCAAGTGAAAGAGAGTGGGACTGGAATAACCCATTAAATGCTGTAAGCGGGGCTGTGGGGAAAAATATCCGTTGGGGTTTTAGATGAAGACAGAAAAGAGGGGTGTCAAATCCTCGAGTTATTCCGTTTTGGGTAGGCGGCGTAATGCGGGGGTTTGGGTTTTATGTACATTAATATTAATATTATTATTTGCCCGATATAATTTCCTGGCTGTGACACAAGCAATCTTAAACACAGGACACTTTGATAGGAAAGAGAAGTGTCGCACACACTCCAAAACAAAACTCGGAACAACAAACTTTATTCTTCTTTCTTCGCGCACTACTCTGCTCTGTCTGTAGGGGGCCTTAGAGAGCAAGCCGATGGGCCATGCAGTACTTTGGAACTGTCAGGGAAACTTAAAATCCCTGCTGTGAAGCAATACCACACAAATAAATGCTGTATAACCAGTCTTGTTCTTTGATATCTTGAGATCTCAAGTAAATGTATCTTCCTTTCATGACTACGGGTCAAATTTCACCATCCGTTTACTGTCACTTAACAGCGTGATGATTAACCCTAAAGAAAATAAGCATTTTCTTTTTTCTTCTGTTTTTTTTTTCTTTTCTTTGCGTTTCGGTTTGTTTTTTTGTTTGTTTGTTTTGTTTGTTTGTTTGTCTTGTTTTTTGGCACATGAAAAAAGCATACCAGAGGTTACATACTGCACTCTCAAATGTACTTTTATTGTAACTGAGGAGTCATTGTTTCTTATGACAGTTTACATCTACGTGCACTTTATATCTATGCACGAGCATGTGGACATATATTTATATATATTCATAAATGTGTTTGTGTGCAGGCTTGCGTGCGTGCAGTTGTAAGTAATTTTAAGCAACAGTGCATTCGTAGTTCCAGCTTAATACACATGAATTCAGCTCAGCCAGGTAAACCTGTTGTTCCTCCATCTTCTCATGTGGCAGCCTGACAGGAAGGTAAGTTTTGTAGGAGGAGCATAATTATGCCTTCAGCAGTTTTATTTTGCTGCCTCAGTCCTTAGCATTCACTTGCTGCTGGGAACTTGGCTAACATGTGTGAGGGCCATGGGCCATGGGACTCCTGATAATATGAATTGTGCCGGACTACTGCAGGTAAGAGCCAGCTGAGTTTATCTCTTTTGATGGTATCTGCACTGTATTAGCGTTTCTAATTGAGTCATATATTGCAGCAACACACGAATGTGCTCGGTGTATTGTACGGCATCATGTTCTAAAGAGGTGTTAAATTGTATGACCCTTTATTCATTTTTAATAAAGAATGTCTGCTTTGATATTTTCCTTTTATTTAAATTCTCTGTGTTATTTGTTTACAAGAGCACTTGGTTGGAGATAAGTGAGAGGGAGGCATCGAATTACTTTATTGTGCAGCTGCTTGCTTTTAAAAGAGCTCACTGAGGCATGAAGTTTAAATTTTATCACCACGTTGAAAACTTTTAAATAACTTATATCATAAGTTTTAAATAGAATAGTGTAACTCTACAAAGACTACTGCTCACTGGTTTTTTTGTTTTCTGTCTTTGTCAGAAGCTGCTGATTGTGGTTCACATCAGGCAGATCATATGTAGCTCTCTCCTGTTTTCCGTCCCAGAGGAACTGGAGCCTGACACTCTGGTTGGATCACTTAGTAAAAACTTTTCTCCTCCATATCAGCTCCTGCCCCACAAGTACCTGAGGATGGACATAAACACGGGGAATTTCTACACCACTGAGTTAAAGATGGATCGCGAGGCCATCTGCCCCGCAGAGAAAAAAGCTGAGGAATGTGTTACTTTATACAATGCCATCGTGGGGCCCTCAAAAAACCTTATACAGTTTTCTGTGATCATAGAGGACATCAATGACAATGCGCCGCATTTTGAAAATAACAAAATACACCTTGGGGTGCCCGAGGATACGACCGTGGGGACCAGTTTCCTGCTAGATACTCAGGCTCTGGACAGTGACACCGGTCCTAATGGAGAGGTGCAGTACCACCTAAAAGGCTCTGATGGAGCTTTCGGTTTAAAAATCGAAGAAGACAGCTCTTTAATTATGTTGGTTGTAGAAAGAGCCCTGGATAGGGAAACTCGGGACCTGTTTCAGATGCAGCTAGTGGCCACAGACTGTGGTGTAGACCCTTTAAGTGTGTCTGCAGATTTAATAGTCACAGTGACAGATGTCAACGACAACTGTCCAGCCTTTAGCTCTGATAGCCCACACAGTGTCACCATCCCAGGAGACTCTCGGAAGAACACAGTGGTCACTCAGGTTAGAGCCACAGATCCAGATTTAGGCCCAAATGGTGATATCGTTTACTCCCTCAGTCCCAAAGTCTCTGAGCGGGTCAAGACGCTCTTTAGCCTCAACAGTCTCACCGGGTCCATCAGCCTTACACGGGACCTTGAGAGCGACAACTCAGAGGAGCTCGTGTTGAAAGTGTTAGCCAGCGGCCATCACTGCCCTCCAGCAGACACTCAGGTAACCATATCCGTGCTCCCCAAGGCGAACCAAGAGCTGACGATCAAGATCGGGTTCATAGCGGAGCATCAAAACCAGACTATGGTGTTACAAGAGAACCAGCACCCCACTGCCTTAGCCGTTTTAGAGCTCGAGGGTGACAGCATCTTTAAAGACTTATTTCTTGCCATTGAAGGTGAAGTGCCTTTCACTTTGAGCCCACAGAATGGCAAGTATCTGCTTTCCACATCAAAGCCCTTAGACTATGAGATGGATCGTGAACATCATATTTCCGTGGTAGCACGCGTGAGATCAGCTGAGGGATCTGTGATCGTTCCTTCTAGACGTGTAGTCACGGTGCTGGTGGCAGACATCAACGACAATGCGCCATATTTTGTACAGCCTCAATACGAACTCCAAGTGGAAGAAAACAATCAGCCAGGAATGTCACTGCTTCAGATCTCGGCTTCAGATTTAGACAGCGGAGAAAACGGCATGGTGACATACAGGCTTGAAAACTACAATCCAACCATGTTTAGCATTGATTCTGTAACAGGTCAACTCTCTCTGCTGGTTCCTCTAGACAGGGAGCAACAGAATGTACACAGACTCACTGTGTTTGCTCGGGACAGCGGCTCTCCTCCCTTGGAATCCATGGCCACTGTATCCATTCACGTTCGTGACCAGAATGACAATCCACCTGTTTTTCTTACCCCTCACTTCATCTTTTTCATTCCTGAGAATGTTCCAACATTATCCCAGGTGGGGAAGGTGGAGGTGAAAGACCCAGATAAAGGGGAGAATGGGACAACAGAATTGTATGTTGTAAACAGCAGTGCACCTTTTGTTGTGGATAACACCCAGGGGATGCTACGCACCACTAGGAACTTGGACCGTGAGACAGAAGACCGCTATGAACTCTACCTGTTGGCCAGTGATCACGGCCAGACAGTTGCTTTGACTTCCACTGCCAGAGTGACCATCTTTGTGGAAGACATCAATGACAACCAGCCAAAAGTGATCCTTCCCAGCAACAACTCCTCATGCCTAACTGTCTCTCCAGGTACCCTGGCAGGTGCCACGGTAGGAAAGATCTATGCCATCGATGAGGACTCTGGACTGAATTCAGAGATTACTTACTCAGCTACGGCACCAGAGCTTTTGCAAAACAGAAGTCCCTTTCAGATCGATTCAAGGTCAGGGAACATCACCTTAAGCCAACAGCTCCTTCATACAGACCTGGGAATGCATCACCTGTTCATTGTGGTCAGAGATGGGGGTAAACCAGTTCCCCTTTATACCACTGTCTGGATGAATTTGTTGGTCAATGACAGCACAGAGCCTTGCCACTTGGACGGGGTGCCCACCTGGACAGGGACACTAAACTTGGTTCAAACCCCTTCAAAGGAACCGATCTGTGACGTGGAGACAGCCAGATTTTCAAAACTGATTCTGTTAATAGGCCTGGGTATGATGCTGGTGTCCACATGTTTGTTTGTGGCCACAGTTATTTGCTGCCTAAAACAGAGGAGTAGAAGTCTGAAAATGAACAAGAGAGCATACACTGAGGCGAATGAGATTCCACTCAGGCTCAAAGACAAATATTACTCTGATTAAGAACAGCAAGCAATGTGTAAAGCTCACAGTCTCAAAGATAAAAATGTCCTGTGAATTAAATGTATTCTGTGTATTTGTCAAGGGCTTCTTGCATTGTAATAAGTCATTGATTCAGTGTGATGCACGGTGTATTCAAACATGTCGACTGCAAAACTGACAGGTTCTGTAGAAATAAAGTTGATCCATTTTCTGATAATGGAACAAGCATATACACGTTGACCTGATAAGTGAAATATGTCAAGCCATCCACAAAAACGTATTCCCTGACAATTCTCTGAAAAAAACAACTAAATTCAACTGTATTTCACAGATTTATTCCATAGCAGGCCATCGGTAAGATACCAGCATTACAGACATTATCTTTAAGGATTATTGCCCATGACCCCTGCGGGTAGAAAGATTGAAGTAATGGTCTGTTAGGTTGATTGGTCCTTTCTCAGATTTCTGACTGAGTGATAGAGAGTCTAAAGTATTTAGACACACAAAAGGGTTTAATGTTCCTCGGTTGGGGAAGTGATGAAAGTCTCTCAAGAAGTAACTCTGAGATGAGCTCAGGAGGCAGAGGGTGGCCACGGACAGGTGAGAGGCGGCAGAGGGAAGGCACAAAAACATCTCAAGTAACCGCCTCACACCTGTTACTTGATAGCACTGCTTTTCACCCACAGAGCTGGATCGCACCAACAAGGCAGAAAAAACCCCAAACCTACCGTACTGCACCCAGTAACCTGATAACAGATGTTTGGAGTGAAATCACACCGTGTTCAAAGACACAATTACAAAAGACACTTGCTCTTGTGTTTTACTGATGCATTTGCATGCTGGAGAACAATTGAAATATCAAACCAGGTTAAGTGATGCATAAAGTATGAATGAGTCAGGCTGAAACGTGTTTGCAAATCTGTCAACACACAGTCGAGCACAGAGGGCAGGGTAATTGTTTCAGCTTTCTCAAACGAAAAAGCTCCCCCACCTTTTAAAATCATCTTTACAGTATCATAAACCATTAAGAAATCCTTTGAAGCTACACCTGCGTTAGAGAGAAGAAGGGAAGCAGAGACTCGGTGCCTGTAAAACACAATGTACAACAACCTGGTTAGTGGGGAACAAGGCTTGTATAACATGAGTGGTGCCTCTCTGAGGATTTCAGAGCTGGCGGCTCAAAAAATAAATAATCTATTAACACTTCGGTGTGAGATTTACTATATCAAATGAGAAGAAACAAAGACTGCTACATAAAAATTACAGACTAACAGCAGATCTTTACATAAAAAAACATGTAGAAATGTATATTAAAGTATATTTATTTTTATTTTATGGGGGGGGGTTGTTTGTTTTTTTTTACATAATTTATTGATTGTTATTGGCCAATTTTTAGCCCCAACTACAGTCCACTGGGGGACGAAACTAAACCCAAACCCTTACAATGCTGTTGCAGGGCAACGCCTGCCATCTACTGGGCGCAAATGAAGCAAAATAGGGCTAATTTTGTTTTTACATTTCTGGTATTAGGCCAGAGGGAGGAGATGAATCAGAGCACAGTCTCTCACTGCGACACAGTCAGGTGCCCTGGGATCAGGAATGTTTCCTTGATGTGCACAAAAAGGACATTTTTATCTTAATCATGTTCCCTTTTTCTGCTTCTTATGCTGAACATTTGATGGATGGCTATATAGCACAAAAGAGAGCTGTCGTGACAGATAAGTGATTGCATATTACAAAACGAAAGGGACTCATTGAAACTCTATCTTGTTAGGTAAGATCGCTAAAAAATAAACACTTCTCATAAGTGTGCACATGTTTATAGTTTTCCTTTCGCTGGAACATTCCAAAAGAGGTAAAAAACAAAAAAAAACAAAAAAAAACCGTGACACCGTTTATTTGGGTTGCTGGGATGCCACTTCAGTCACGGTAAAGTGTATCTCACTGCAAACAGATGATATCTGTCAATTTCCTGTAAGAATATCACCTGAACGCTCAAAGGGCAACACCATGATAGCCAGTGTTATCTCAATCAGAGGTCGTAGACCGTCTGAAACAACAAGCTCGACTCAACATGATGTACGACTCATTCCTCATTTGCCTGGACATGTTGGCATTTTGACTTTTAAGACAAAAAGGTCTTAGCTAACCACTGTTTGTCCCCACACACACGAGAAGAAGAAAAATCTATTCTTCTCTGTGAGCACGTCTGTATGCAAATGAGCGTCAACAATGAACTTAGTAAATGTCCGCAAGTTTAAGGACCCCCGGCCTCCTCATCATTTCTGCTCCTTGAAGTTCATTGAAAAGCGACATTGTTTCTTTAAGGTTGCACTCGCAGTCATCGGCGGGTCTGTCCATTGTTGGGGGGAACAGAACAGCGAGTTGAGATTGATATACGGGGGCCGGAGACAAGTTGCGCATATCATCAGCGGACCAGCTGCAGTTCGGGCAGCGAGACAGTAGCCGACAAGTCCTTGAACGCATCTTTCCAGACATGGGTAAGAAACTTCACACAGACTAGAGTCTACCTTTATTAGCTTGTAGTATGTTCTTATTATCACTTCTTTTCTTGATTGTATGCGATTGTTCTGGGAGGGAGGGGAGCAGTGAGAGGGCAGCAGAAGTTATTAAAGTGGGGGCTCTCTTTTTTTGTCAGTGTAGAGGTCGGCTTCTTACCGGCTGATATTATGAGATTTATTTCATGCTTGAGATGGCAGGGCTACTTTTCAGACGAGCCTTGTCGCATTTGCTTTCGCTCGCAATCCTTCTCAATTTTTATAGAGGCGATTTGGCCCCAGCTTTTGCATTTTCAAGACTATTCCTGCAGGGCTTGTCTTTTCATTTGGGTCACAATCAAAGAGCCAGAGAGGGCCGCAGTGATTCGTAATTGGCTAATTGGCACAAGGTGCATCTGAAGGCCGGCCTGATTGACTGACTGAGGTTAGTGTTAAAACTTATGGATTATGCTGATACAATGTGTGTGTATATTCTCTAAAAGAAAAAAAATCTATCTATATGTACTGTATATAATTTATTGTGTAGCTATGTTATTCACAATTTCTTGTCAAACTCTGTGTTCTGTGCACAAACCCTCGCTATGTGAATCGCATGCAATCAGTTTGCATGTCTGGTCATGCACAGACACCCAACAAAGCTATGCGTTTGCTTAAAGAGCCATCTATTTGCCCCTCCGGCCATCTGTGTTTACTGCAATGGTACCAGCTACAGTCTGCCTGCTTCTATTGTGCATGTCTGTGTGGATGCATGTACACATTTACACAGTTCCATTGTTTGTTTCTAGGTTTGCTTTTTCCATCCTCTTCCAGCACTGGCAGCTCCCCACTATCATTTTCTTGTTCCTGTGTCTTCTTAGTAGGAAGTCTGGTGAATATGCTTGTGTGTGTGCCCGCAAAGCACAGAGGTGCCTCTGGCCTTTGTTTGCTTGACATTGGTGGCCCTTGTACCCCCATGATGGTGTGGCACAAAGACTGTTGTCTCTCCAGTCACAAAAGCAGCCACTCTTTCTGTTTCGCTTTGCCTTCTCCTCAGCGTCCTCCCTCTTTTCTCACACTCTCCATCCTGGCTGGTGAATGGAGTCAGGGTGTGAGATGGGGTCAGAGTCGACACGTCCCCATGCCCGTGGCCCTTGGCATCCATTCAAACAGCACATGACTAGTGGGGGGAATGCACAGACTTAATAAGCAAACTTGTGTTTACAGCTGCAGCTTGATCAATGCTGACATTTTATCTTTAAAAGGTTGCTTTGGCTGGCTTTGTTTTTCCTTATTGTATTTTTTACCCCTAGTATTATGTAGGTAGGTTTTTGGGTTGTCAAATTTCATGATTCTTATCTCTGGGGTTTTCTGTCGCCACCAAGTTCAGCTGTATTTTATGCCAAATGCTGTGTTCGTGCTATGAAATCAGATGATAACCTTTTTGTCTACTCCCAATCATGAAAATTGACAGAAGCCCTATATTTTTAATTATCAAGGGTAACATGAAATAGTTTGTGTAGAAAGGATCTGCTGTTGGATATTTGGGGCATGAATCACACAAAGTTAACTCTCAGTTGCACGTGTTTAGATTGAAAGAACGATCAATAAACTGTTCTGCAGTTTTAAGCAGCACAAACAAACACAAAAAACTATTTAGCTTGTCTGTGCTGGGGTGGAAGCAACAATCTCATAAAGGGATGTCTTAAAACCAGAACAAATGCAATCAAAACTATCTGCATGGCACAAATCGGAGTTCAGTGAAAGTAATTTTAGTTGAACAGATCATTTTAAAAGTTGCGGCACAATTTAATTTTCATTAGCTTGAAAGAGTGAAAACATATTTCCTGTCCTTGGGAGAAAAAAACCATGCAGTATATTCTTTAATATTTCGTACGTTTTAATGGTGTACTATGTCTTTCCGCTGTTCATAATATGCTTTGTTTTCCATGGCGCTGCATGTCGACTAATAGGTTGCTATGAGTGCTGTATGCGGTGTTTGGGTGGGGTGCCGTACTGCTCCCTTGTTGCCACACTTCTCTGCTTCTCTGGCATTGCCCTCTTCTGTGGTTGTGGGCACCAGGCACTCACAGAGACAGAGAGGCTCATCGAGACATACTTTGCACGTAACCTTCAGGACTACATAACCCTAGCCTACATGTAAGTCGTCCTACATTTCCATCATCGAAGCGTGATCAAACCTGATCTTCAGACTTCTCATGATTTCGTCTGTATTTTGAAGGTTTAACCCTTTTAACCTCTTAACGTTTTCTTTTTCCTTTGCCACTCTCAGCATTCAATATTTCCAGTATGTCATCTATGGTTTGGCCTCCTTTTTCTTCCTCTACTGCATTGTGCTTTTGGCCGAGGGCTTCTACACTACGAGCGCTGCAAGGCAAACCTTTGGAGAGTTCAGGAGCACCATGTGCGGCCGCTGCCTCAGCTCCTCGGTGAGAGGGCCCTGAGTGGGAAAAGTAAAAAGGATTGGACAGATTGGATAGGATTTAATACATATATCACTCCCTGGTGGGTGGTGAGCTGAAAAATCTTAAAGCTCCTAAAGAAGAAAAAATCTTAAGGGACATGCAAAGATAAGCATACAGTGAGTGTTTGAGTGGTCTAAGACTTGAGTAGTTGGAAGAGGAGGCAAAAAGGGAGATAAGTAGAACTAACCTGAAAAACAAGCGTGGCTATTAAGTGAGTCACGCCTCATAAAAACACTCTGAGATTGTGTGCATCCATTTAATATGATAATGCACCCTAATCTGTGGCCTGCTCTCTCCTTGTGCAGTTTATAGTGATGACGTATGTGCTCGCTGTGCTGTGGCTGCTGGTGTTTGCCTTCTCGGCATTGCCAGTCTACTTCTTCTACAACATGGACGCTACCTGCCACACTATTGATATTCTGACTGAGACCCCAGCAAGTATCAACCAGCTTTGTGTTGATGCGAGACAGTACGGTAAGAGGAACTCCCATCGCAGTCAGTGTTGGGCCTCCTCATGCAAAATCCATTCACATAAGGCAAACCTGTTAACACACGGCATATTTATCTTACTGTAAACAAATCTCTTGAAACGGCCATTTCCAGTGATGATTTCTTGCCAAAGAATTGGGAAAATTAAATCCTGATTATGGTTTCTGCTATAACCTCCACTGTTCAAAAACTCTTTAGCACGCTCGAGGTCAACAGCCATTCCCACAGCTGTCTGAGGCTTAACCTAAGGACATAATGCAAACAATATAACAATTAATACAGAGACAAAGCAGCTGGAGGGGAAACGGTTATGAGGCTATTACTGTGGCAAAACTATTTGTGCGTGTAGTTTTGCTACAGTAATGGCCTCATAAACAGTAGGCCACACACCTTGTGTTGACACTATTAGCATGCTAATGTAGTTAGCTGAGGTGCTTGCAAATATATTGTTGCTCGTGGTCAGTGGTGGGAAAACTCAACTGCCAAAAGAGGCATTTTTGAGCAGTTTTTGACCCCCAAAAGTTTATATGGTGTGACAAAACTTATTTGATCTTTTAACACATGTGAAATGATTAGTTGGCATTTTGCATTTGTGAAACTGGAACAAAGAAAAAGTCTACACCTGCACTAGTTGGAGAATACGTGCATTTCATTCATCAGTCAGTGTTTTTGTAAATGAATCAAATTAAAATCGGTCTACTTTGATGATAAAACATTTTGCATCATAGTAAAAAAAAAAAGGGGGGGGGCAGTTTGAGTTTAATTCTGGTTAAAGTCCTTGCTGAGATCAGGCTTACCAGTAAGCCAGCAGCATTAGTGGTGAAAGCTCTAAATTCTCTTTTTCCTCTGTGGATTTACTTTATTTGGATTTGAATGCATAAAACTATAAGGACTCAGAACTACTTATTTATGTATACAGCCATACAAGCCACTGCAGTCCGACTTCAGCAAATTTGAGAGGATAAGGTGCCATGTGATAGTCAAACACTGTGATGTACATTTTAGGTACCAAATTATTAAAACTTGACCTTAAATTCTGTGTTTATAATTGGAGATATATTTTTTTTATAATCAAGAATTGCCTAAAGCTATGATTTGAAAAAAAAATTACTATTGCTCATTTCCATTTTTCACTGGAGCCACTTAAAATAGCCTGACGAGCCCAATGCAGCTCTAGAAGGGTTCATGAACCCTGCTCATGCCTTTCTGAATTATCCACACTCAACTTTAGTACAAGTTGCATGGTGTCAAAATACATTGCCTAACTTGTAGATACATTCATTTGGATGTGTGACTCAGTGGCGACAGCTTTTACTGCACACTGGCATTTCGTGTTAGATTCGTAGTTTTTCCTGTTCTTCTTCCTGACGCCTCACATCTTGTACTTGAGTCTCCCTGAAGGCCTAGCTCTTATAAAGTTTATGTACTAGGAGGCATTTTCATGCCATCCAGAGCTGGTTGAGACTTGTCTGCTGCCTTGATTGCGCTCTCTATGGCACCTTTTATTTAGTTTGGTAACATTTGTGAATGATTAGCAGTAAATGCAAAAAGTGCTCCTGAGGTCATTGGGATCTCATTAGTTTTGCAGCAGTTCTGTCATATATCATAGTGCTGATCAAATTAAAATCTCAGCAAGGCAAAGACACTGGAGGGAAAAGTCAGACGAAATCCAGAGGGGAACATCAATCTCTGTAGGCTACAGAGTTTCGTGGCAGCTCGCATGCCACTTAAAGACATTTTTCCTAAAATCCCCCAGAACGTCAGCTTTCATTCATGCTCCGTGGGCTATGTTTTGTACAGAATTTCATAGCAATCCACCTAATGGCTGTCAAGATATCAGTCCAGACTAAAAGTGTCAGCAGACCCACAGCACAACGCTGCGATCCCTGGAGCCCCAGAGTGTGGCTAAAACACATTTGCCACACAATGAGGCACACTGTTGCACTGAGTGATTTGTTCTTTCATTACACTGTCCTGAGGGTTAAACACTCGCTAACACATCAAATGTGCGTATTAATTTGCAGCTGAAAATAGTCCCCAACATACACACACACAAACTCTTCTGTTTGGTGGAAGTTTAATAAATTTTAACATGCCTGGCTCTGTGGTTTGATTTGAGCGCCGCAGACCGTGAAAGTCAAAAAAGATTTAGAATGAACAAATTAATTGATTTGTTGTGGACCTTTAATGTAATTTTACAGGCAGCAAGAACAAAATATAATAATTCTATCTTTTTATGTGCAATTGAGTGTTATATTTGAGTACATAAGTTAATTTTTTTCAACAGGACTCTTGCCATGGAATGCAGTACCAGGGAAAGCTTGTGGTATGACCCTGTCCAGTGTCTGCAAGACAAGAGAAGTGAGTACGATAATATGAAACAACTCGAGGTCTGCTGTCATGTTGTACAATTTGACTGACATAACACAAATACAACATGTTGTATTCACTAACAATAATCTCCCCCTACTAGTACCGCATGACCTACGACCTCTACATCGCTGCCTTTGCCGGCGCTGGCATCACGCTCCTGGCTCTGGTGAGTGATTATGCTGAGGTTGAGGCCAGTCTGGCTGCAGTGTGGTAATATAACACTGGTGTTATGGCTCATGTGACTTAGTGACGCTCAGAGTGTAGGCGACAAGGCATCTCAGGCATCCATGACTGATGACCTCTGTACTGTTGCTCTCTGTTCCTCTTTGTCAGCTGATGCAAACATCATAATAATGCTGTAATGTCTGGTGTTCCAGCCATGCAAGCAAATTGTGCAGCCATTATACTCACATGCTTCATTACAGAAGCTGTTATGTTCGTCTTATTTTCTGATTCCTCTTGTTTCTCTTTGTCTTTTCATAGCTGACCTATACTATGTCAACCACCTATAACTTTGCCGTTCTGCGGTATCTGGGGAGAAAGGGCATAGGTGCACGGTGTTAGGACCCAGCTTCCTGTCTTTTCTGGCTTCACCACGAATCGATGGCAACTCTTCTTTTTTATGTGATGTGCACACTACTACGTCTGCTCCTGGATAAAAATTTTTTCTAAACTTGTTATATTTTTACTTTTCTTATTATAAGGAAGTTTTTTTTTAATGGTTTTATGTTTTTTTTGTGGGTGTAATTTCTGCTTTGAAATCGTACTTTCATTTTTTCTGATGTTTTTCAATCTGTGCCAAAATATTTGTGAATTATTGCTCTTGTTACTTGCCAAGTTCAATGTTTGAAATGAATTTCTGCCTCCCGCTGTACTCACAAATAACACAACTTTAACAAATTACCATATGTATTAAATGACCACTAAATTAGAAGATGTGCAGGTAGTTTGCAGCTGTTAATAAGAATTTGGGATTAGAGGTTACTATGGCTACCAACCATCACATCTGGCTGCCATGGTAGCAGACAAGCATGCACTTGCGGTCTTATGCTGACCTCCCGGACTTTTCTCACGGGCCGGAGAAAAGCTCCAACAATGGAGTCATGTCTTTCTTAAAAGCGAACCAATAAGAAGCCAGTTCTGGGGCCACCTGCACCATTACTCTCTGCCAGGGGTTATATTGCATGTCAAGGGACAGGGTCCTCTGGACAAAGAGAGGGTCAGACCTCTCCAGAGCCACAATGTAGCTCTTCTGGGACAGCAACAACACACACATACAACTCGTCCACATGCTGCTGCATGGACCCCACCCCCAACACCAACACCATGTAAAATGGATTCATGGTGAAGGGACAAAGGGGAATTTTATTTTGAATAGTTTCTTATTGACAAAGGGACAATTTGTTTTTGTTTAGATCTAGTGAGGTCTGAAATTGTTTCTCATAATGTTGAGATGGCAGAAGCACTAGGTGCTAATACTTGAAGTAACCTCATAATATAAGCCCAAAACCACTTTGTTGAGGTGTGATACCCCCTGCTGGTAATGAATGGCTGAGGTACTTAAATAGAAAAAGGACAGGTTTGTTTTGTGTCTAATTCTTTAGGGATTTTGTTGTAGTTATTGTATAACACTTGTTTTTCACTTAATGTAGCTTTTTTTTTTTTAAACATCTGGATATTCCTAACAAAACCTTTTGAATCCTAAAAAGTAGACTTAGTGGAAGCTTAGCATAGCTTCTAATATTGGATGTGTCATGTTGCAGCAGTTTCATTTTCATATGTCAGTAATATTTAATTTAAAAAGAAGAAGAATGCTTTGAACTGTTTGTACACATGGCCTCTGAAAACATTTGTTTGTAGACTTTATGAAACCTCAGTGTCTGGTGTATTATCAGAATGTGAAGCTGATGGTTCATCCTTGGCTTTTTGCCACATTAGGAGGCCAAGGTATTTTGTAAGGTGTTTTGTATTCTCTCCTCGTGTGTCCACAGGTGCACTGTTCCCTTCACTTGGCTGTGTACCAAGTCTACCTGAAGATGCTACGACACAGGGCAAAAAATGAGGAGAGAGGTTACGACCTGTATAGGAGACTGCAGAGGGACAGAGGAGGGATACTGCGCTCTCCGTACTCTGAGAACAACCTGTCTGACACCTTGTGAAAGGACATTTTGTAGTAGTTTTGGTAACAAGCTTTCTGCAATAACTGTAACACCAGAGCGTATCAACAAATGACACTGTTTTGTAGATTGTTCCACTTTAATAATATTGTAGAGGCATATTTCAACAGTTGGGGCATGATACAAAAGCAGGGTTTTTTTTTCTTAACCAAGCATTACAACTTCGTATTTATCCTTATTTCAACACAATGTGCTGCATGTGAATAATTTCTATAGATTATGTACTTTTTCCTTAAAATGTACTTTTGAAGGCAAATGTGAAGATTTTCTTTCCTGCATGAATCTAATTTGACAGTATGCAGCGGATCCTTCTAATGAAGGGAAAATAAAAATGTAGCACATGGTTTGATTTTTGTTTATAATGGAGAGGAACACCATTCACCACCAGGTTCCCACACATAGTCATTCAGTGACACTCAAGGATTTGATGCAATTTAAATACGGCACAGTTTGGGGTTAAATCTGAAGCTGTTTTTCATTTGGGATATTGCTCCAAAATCCAGATGCTTCATTTTAACCTTTAAACGTTACAGATATCTGCTTTAAAAAGTGAAGTAGCTACTGCTAAAAGGGAACCAGTAGTATAGAGATGCATTTTAGTGACCTGTTAAGAGATTAAAAACAGGTTTAGGTATTGTTTTTAAAACTTTAATAACACACTCAAGGATTTTCAAGCAACATGTACCAAAAAAAAAAAAAAGAAAAATAGGGTCTTTATTTGGTAGTTTGCATGATTTATTTGTAGCCAAGCACTGGAGCACATTCGTGACAGGCTTCTACTCAGCAGTGCAATAAGAAGGGAAGTTTTTCATTACAGTAACACAGAATCAAGATGAACACACTTAAGTTTCACACAGCTTAACTCGTACTCCTTGGCTGAGCACTGAAGGGGGAACGGATGTTAGGTGTTGTTTTGTACATCATTATAAAATGAATACAATTTACACAAGGACAAGCCCACAAAAAATAAAAAATCAGCTTTTACATTCAATATTACAGCAACATTAAAAAAAATACTGACATTAGGCAGGACTGCAGTGACACAGGAGATGGTATCGTGATACTGAAGGTTATAAATATTGGATTCTCAGGCATGTCAGACTTCAGGTAATTGCTGAGATGAGCTACATTGTTGAAACAGGATTAAACTGGAATCGTATTGTAAGACATCAGCCTTTTGTCTCATTACAGAAACATTAACACTGATAATAAGCAGAAAGCCCTCATTTTTGCTTTGAATTAATGTAGACTACCAGCCTGATATTAAAAGCCCTACTCACTTCACAGTTAAAAAAAAAAAACAAAAATACCAGTACTCAAACACACAATCAAATGCATGAGCTGTTGTAAGCCTACATTTCCAAAAAAGCACATAATAGGAGAATACGACAGTACCTGATTAGATTTGGTGCACTTTGAAAGTGAACCTCTTGTAATGTTCGCCATTAGTCTGCACGCTCACAGAAATATGATTCAATTTTGACTCGGAAGGCAAACACTGTGAGCCCACGCTGACGGACGACACAAGACCGCCAACGTTACAGAAACCGTTACGAGAACACAGGGGCTATAATGAGAACTTTATGCATCCCATAAAAAGAGAAATATTTTATCCGATTCGTGCAACTGAATTTGTTGCTTGAGAAGATGCAGTTTCAAGATCAAAATAATAACAATACATTTAAATGTTAAATTACATTCTTCAAAATGAATTTAAGCTATATTATTGTTTTAAAACAAGTTTTTTTTAAAGCAAATCCCTCAGGCAGACAGCAGTAAAACAATGGGGAAGAAAAGTCAACAGTATCTGTAGAAAGTACCAAAACAACCCAGCTGAAAACAAGTAAATATCACTAAGTATCAGAATATGAGGTTGTACATTTCACTAAATACTGTTTAAATGGATATGGAAGGACTCAATCCATGTGGTCAAACTACCACATTCAGCTGAGACGTATAATAATTGAACTGACAGCAAAAAGTGTATGTTGTATATTGGTGAAGTACAGGAGCCCATCAGAATAGGCAAAGCTACAATACGGGAATCTTAAGGCCTACTGAACAATTCACAAGGCAGGCACAGGATTACAAAGGTGCCATTAATATTTATAAACCTCTCTACTCATCAGAACTTTAATCTGTACCTGATCAAACATTGAAGCCCAATTTTGTTAGATAAAAATGTAAAACTACAAAAAGAAATATAACACTTTGAAGGATGGGAATGTGCTTCACACAAAAAATAAACACTATCACCAGTAGTACTACTTCTGATTCTGGACCAACCCCCCCCGGGCCTTAGTAAACATGTACATAAATTACAAGAAGTAAAGACAATAATGTCTGATTCCCTGACACATCCAGCTACAATGCAGTGGAAGAAAAATATAATTAACAGAATAAGGGTACCACAATTGTTCGCACCGTTGCTCAAATTTGAAACAGCAAAATTAAAGCTTACAATTCCCTTGCTACTGAAGACAAACAAGGTCATCTTCCTTTTGAGTGCAGCAATCGTTTAAATAACCCGTACTTTCAATGCTGTTATCTCACTGATGTGGGGACTTCTGAAGCTCAATATTTGCCTGTACTGGGAACACTGTCATTCACAGACACAGTCAGTGTCAGGAAAATACATTAGCTCTCCAACAACTGCCGACACATCTCATAAAATGAGACTTTTTCATGAACAGAAAATGGAGCAGTGACTAGAGCTACTGTGTGTTAAGCTGCATTTCCACCTGAGCCTCTCTTATAACAAAAAGCTTCCTATAGACTATCATTAGTCTCCATTTCCTCTGCAGTGAAAGATCCATAGAGAAGCTGGACATATTAAAAAGTGCTGGCTGTTTTTTTGTTGTTTGTTTTTTTAACATGTCAGACTATTGAAATATATAGTAACCATGTTACACTGGCTGCCTCTGTCCATCTCAGTTATGTAGGTCTTTGTGCACACACACACAGAAAAAACGGAGCGGTCACAGTCAACGAGATGAAGCCTGGACAAAGTCTGGCATAGGCCTCTTCCCTCGGGGTGGTTTAGGGGTGAGAGCATTTCTAATCAGAAAAACTTCACCAACAATGCTTCTTCTGTTTATTTACTCTAGTTACTTTATTTACCCCAAACACAGAACTTATTTGGGCAGGATGTCAGCTATATTAACAGCTGTCAGGGCAGATTTTGCAAGTCATTTTAGATTTTTTTTCCCATCTATTTTTTACTTAAGCCATTCTTGACCAATTTACTAGTTGACAGTCCCCTTGCTCTTATTTTGAAATATTAGTTGGCGTTAACCAGCTAGCCCCGGCCCTTCCAGTCCTATTTTCTGCCTTTCAGCAGGCTGACCAGAATTTCTCATCTCATGGACTCAGAATCCAGTCTTGGACTCCATTTTTGTAGGTTTGTTTTTTCTGCTCTGTAGATGTGACCACTAACCACAAGACCACTAACAAACATCTGCAGCAGGTAGAGAGCAGCTCACATGTCACTACAGCTGAGAAGAGCAAAGACAATCATCTCCAAACACAATTCAAGGAGGTGGACGTTTGTATCTGGACAATTCTGAAGCATGAACGACTCAGAAATCAACAATCGCTACAGCACGGTGTCGTGACATTATGTGTGGCGATATTGTATAAATACAGGCACATACAAGGGGACTTGAGTCAACTGGCTGCCAGCTGGATGTATTCTGGTTACATTCCTATAGAACGGGAAGGTTGCTGAGCACAAATGTGAATTTCTTTCTATCTATACAGCAACAGAGATTTGAGATTTTAAACAATTCACCACGGTTCATTTCTTGTATTATCAGAAATAGATTGCATGTAATTGTCAAGTTGACCCCATTCAATCGCAGACTGATAATAGACTGACCCTGTCTTGTGGCAACATTTACCGCAGGTTTTAGTGACAGTGTTGGTGTGCTTGACGGTCTCATTTTGTATCAAAAAAATAAATTGAGTTAGATAATGTTATCTTATTGGATAGAACTGTTACAAACATTTACTCTGAGGATGAAATTTGCAGTTTAAAAAAGGTAATAAATGGTTAAAATGTAAAAAAAAAAAAAAAGATAAACGCTAAAAAAAAAAAAAAAAAAAAAAAAAAAATCACAGTATTATCTTATCGGAAGTAAAATACTGTAATAATAATATATTGTGGGGTGTCTGGTAGTACCCATCTAGTGGACAGATAGCTGAATATATCCGTTATTTATTTCTCCCAAAATATTTGAAAATTAAAAGAGTCAGAGGGGCACATTATATGAGACGCTATTTAATTTCATTTAAAAATGTGTGGGTGTACGTAATTTCTGGGCACATTTACAAAGGCACCCCTGGTACCACCACAATTACAATCCAATTCTGAGCAAAACACTGCACTCTCTAGCTTACTCAACCACAACTGCTCTCTTCATATATTTTTTTTTAGAAAAACCAGGCAGACGAACCAAATCTGAGTATTGTGCTTAACAACAGTAATCTCTGATATAAGCCTTAAAGTAAGCAAAATAAGCAACTGCAACAACTTGAAGTAAGATGACTAAGATGGACTGGCTGAATGCTACAAGTTTAGTGCTGCAAACATTATTACCACTGTTCCTAAACCAAGGGAAAACACTGTTGCACAAACAAGAGCTTTTTGGAGGTAAACATTTCCCAGAGAATTTAATCTTTAGACCTTTGTCCCTTTGATGGAAACATACAGAGTCCTTTCAAAGGCTCCTAGTCCCTTAGGAAAGTTCCTATGGTGGAAACACAGCTTTACAGAGCAAAAAAAGGAGTGCTCTTCAAAGGTGGATTGGTATATTCTTTGTTCAAATGCATTAATTCCAAATTATATTATTTTGATTAAAGTTAATCCCTTAAATGCACTAGATGCTATAGTCCCTGCACAAGCTGGAAACAATGGTTTGTACCATACTACTGGCAGCACAGCTTGTAAGTGTGCCGGTACCTTTGTAGGAGCAATAATTCAACATTCTAGAAACCAGCTAAATCCTTGATACGCCTCCTCAGAGCAGGTGTATCCTATTCATATTATCTTCAGGGAATACTGCACTCAGTACCTTGTACCAACAGTACACGTACCATAAACAATATATGACTGGCTCTTAAAACTACCACAGGCAAGTTTCAGCCAGAGGGATTAAAACAGGGTGGATTCACACCAATCAGCAACAAGATCTTCGGGAGGTTTTGCGGTTTCCATGGAGATCAATAGTACTACTCAAGAGCGCATGATCAATCTGGTCCTCAGCAGCCAGAACCTCCCTGACAGCTGCCTCAAACGCAGCGGTGACATTAGTGTCATCTTTAGCACTGGTCTCAAAGTAAGGGCAGCAGCCGTTCTCTTCACACCAGGCCCGCGCTTCATCCTCCCCAACCTCCCTCTGCTCCATGTCTATCTTGTTGCCCAGTACCACAAAAGGGAACCGCTCGGGGTCTTTGACGTCAGAGTAGTACATGAACTCCTTCTTCCAGCTGCCCAGGTTCTGAAAGCTCTGCAGGTTGTTCACGGCAAATGTGAGCAGGCAGCAGTCGGCGCCTCGGTAGAAAGGTGTACGTAGTGACTTGAAGCGCTCCTGACCGGCTGTGTCCCATATTTGAAGAGTGACAAGGCGTCCATCCACTTCCAAGTCCCGATTAAGGAACTCCACGCCGATGGTGTGGAAAGACTGGGAGTCAAACCGGTCTGTGACATAGCGGTTCATCAAGGAGGACTTGCCCACTCCACCATCTCCCAGTAGGATTACCTTGAGCAGCAGGTTCTTCCCACTCATCATGCCACCCACCCAACTAGGCCTCCTCACAGGGCTAAAGTCCTCCCCACTTGGTGGTAAACTGGGGTGAACCTAACCTAGAAACAGGAAGGGTGAAAACGAGATGTGGAAATTACTGCTGGTCATTGGGATATGAAACATAATGACTTCTCAGAAAACATTTAAAAGCCAAAGCAGTCTGTGGGTTTGTGTCCGCTGATGATTCAGAGTAGGTAATTAGAGGAACAGTCAGCAGCCACAGGATAACTGTTATAACTTGGAAGTAAACCTTTCTGCGTAATTAAAACCACATGACAGAAGTGTAATGGTTGACTAGCTTCAGGGACAAAATGACGGGGTGAAGGACCGAGATGTCTTCCAAAGGTCTCTGGCGTAGAAAAATACATGGTAGCAGACAGCCCTGCTGTTTACGACATGAAACTATAATACTGGCTAGTCCACACATTATGCACTACAGTGAACAGATGCCAACTACAGATTAGGAAGTAAAAATTAAACATTAAAGAAAACGGGGTTTTTTTGTAGTACATCATGAGGAAAACCCCGACACCACAACCGGCTGACCATAAATCCACTCTGTACAGCACCACCACTGCACCTGCGCAAACCACAAATATGTACCAGCTTGCCAAACTGTGGCTATTGGAAAACAAAAACTCTCGCTGAACTCTCTTGTCGATGCTGTTTGTGAAACTGTCCGCAGAAGTGCTTCAGAGAAGAAGTTAAATGGGAACCGAAACAGGTAAGACTTCTAAATCACGCCATGCGAGATAGTAAAGCGGTTGTAATGTATACCGGCTTAGCAACCCTCCCATCAAACTAGCAAGCTAGCCGACTAGTCTGATGCCTTGTTGACATTCCATCCCGGTCAGGCTAACCGTCAGCTCTAATTTATATGCGGCTCAGAAGAGTTTTAAAAAGCGACGCAGTTACCAGTAGCGACTATTGCAGTGGGCTGGTGTTTTCAAAACTGAATGCATATCGTAGAAACATTTATTTCTACTTACCCTGCTTCTGGTAGGTAATATTGCGTGGCTGTCCCGCTACCCTACATCTGACTGAGATTCAGTGTCGTGACGTGCGCGCCCCATCGCGGACATGCACGTGCACACCGCCCAAGCAAAGCGGGGTCCTAAAGCCCGTAAAATGAGCGGATACCCCAAATGATAAACAAACGGAAGTAAAAACTTAATCAAGCATTGCATTAATACACTAAATGCTAGTAATCTTAGTAGGCATCTTAGTAAAAAAAACATCATTTATATGCTTTGCTTTTTGTAAAACTGTGAGTTTGAAAATGAATGGATAACAACAATAATGATATTTTAGCGTTAGCCAAATAATTTTGGAAATTATCAGTACTGTTAATTTAGGGCATCTGTGACATAAATCGTACATTGGGTCGTGGGTAATCGTTTTGCTAAGAACTGTAAGTTTGTAACATTTTGCATTTGAGTTCAGTCTGAATAAAAGCTGGATTTATGAAAAATGTGCAAGAATTTTAGTAAATCTTACTATTTGCTTTGTCTCTTTCTACTTTGTTGTCCAAGCATAATTTACTTATTACCGATTTACTGATTATTTTCCAACCCATTTAAACCCAGAGCTGGACTTAATTTCCCTTCTCTAACAGTGGTTTAGTGACAACTATTCATTCTCTGAGATAACTAACCATCCTTCTTTTGACACATCTACTTGATGTGATGAAGTGGCCTTTCTGTTTCTCAGTAAACAAAACCAGATGCTCTGACCTGACGTTGAGCTGATGTGGTTTTCACTTCAGGTCTGCTAAATGTTACTCTGGATGCATTTCATGGCACTGACCTCACAGGGGTGGCCCCCTCTGCTAATCTCTGTGTAACCATGATGTGAAACTGACTTCTGGCACTTTTTACTTACACAAAAATCTGAGAACTGAGTTCTATTGTGAGACTGATATTATTTTTGAAGATCAAATTATACAAACTCTTCAACTGCTCATTCCACTGTTGAAGTCTAAATATCTACCGTAGACTTTAAAGTTCCACGTTTGACCTGTGAAAACTGAAAACTGGATCATGATTGGTTCCCCGCCTCATTCCAAAGTCACAAAGTCATCTTTTAAGTATGAGTTTTAAACTCTGGCCTAATTTAATTTAACTTACATTAAACATTAATTTGATTTACATAAAATTTAACCGATATAAATTTAACTTACATTAAATCAAGTCAACCGAAAAACCATCCAATACTGGACACACAAAGCTGCCTCCTCATTTGGAGCAAGCTAATGGCTCAGTCACACGAGCCATTAGCTCATGAATTTCTCAGTGAAATTTCTCCCTTTAGCAGAAACTACGAACACATCCTGCAGTGCCAAGCTTTATGCAAACGTTCTTCTGCACAGTCAAGCTCAAACCTCAAAAATGTAAAAGTAATAAAAATGCTTTTTTAAATGGGAAACATCAGATTTACACTAACATCCAAATCAAGATCTGCCAGTGTTGCACTGTAGTTAACAGCAGTAAAGGCGAACTCTTTTCTACTCAGCAAGACTGATGGCAATAAGCTGGCAATCTGTCTGCATTTATAAATTAGACAACAGTTATTAGCAAACCTTTGACAATCTCTCTCGGAGTGACTGTAGTTGGTCCAGGTCAGACTGTGACTGTTGCAGAAAGGTTGTCTCCTATCAGGTGACCTATGCAATCGTCTTGTGATCAAAAGTGGTCGTGAGAGTGCAACACCCTCAAGCTCTATGTAGCCATTTAGTTACCACAATCTCCAATTGGTTGCAGAATGTGACAAAAATTCAATACAATCACCAGGCAGCCACCATAAATGCAAGGAGATTACTGTCCCTTCCTTGTGACTGAGCCTTTACCTTACTCTGAATTAGGAGATAGCTTTGCAAGAAGTGTACCCACTGTGGCATGATTTTTCGGCTGAGCCGATTTAATGCAAGTTTCCTCAGATAATCTTATTTTAAGACATAAAGGATGTGTTATTAATTCTGCTAATGTTGTTTGCTTTTAGAATGACTTTTGTATTTGCTTAAAGTTCATAGAAATCTCTAGGGTTTTTTATTATTATCTTAAAACATATACTCTATGTTTTTATGTATGATTTGTTGTGTTTGTTGTGGCAAAATCCGTTAAGTATCAAAAGATTCTGAACTGAACCTGTCTGACCCAATCTTACTCCCGGGCTGTAGGTGGCGCTAGAGTGAGATATTTTTGAGACCTAGAGAAGAAGAAAATCAGGACTCTACAAAAAAAAAAAAAAGAAGTCAGCTGTTAACTGATGTTTGGGGCATCTCGTTAGCACTGCTCATCAAAGCGAGCTTACGTGAAAAGTAGCGCTAGATGTTTTATTTTGTAAGCTAAGAAAAAGCCCCTTTCACGTGTTTCCCGCGGAGATGATGGTAGGAAACAGTGTGAATATTCCGATGTTTCTCCATGCTCTGAAAACACTGGCTCTGTAGAGTAAGTCGCTGGATTGTTTGCGTAGCGGATCGCATTTATACAACCGCATTTATAAAGAAAAGCAATCATACTGCTGTCCCTACACAGTAATGTGGTGTTTATTTTGAATTTGTGTGTCTTTGTTCAATTCACCCCTGCAGATGGCGGGTAGGAGCAGACTACTGCCCTTTGCTTGTCTGGGGTTTTTCGGGGTCCTGTGCTGGGTCTGGGTCTCCTTTGCCTCCTTTCCAGATGACCAGGTGCTTCCCCTGGAGGCCTTGGATGCACTAGACCGAGGAGCCTTTCAGCCTCAGAGTGCTCTCTCAGAGATGGAGTTTGCCTCCGTGGTTTCATACAGAGGACCAGGGAACCGCGACCGTCGCAGTAACAAGGAGCTGCCCATTCTCCTCTGGTGGAGCGGTGGGCTGTTCCCACATTTTCCAGGCGACACTGAGCGCATTGACTGTGCCACGTCCTCCTGTCTGGTCACGAGCAATCGTAAGGTACCCGAGATACTTACCCTCCTAAAACACCTTTCATGAATCTCCTGCCTTGGACAGGAGGAAGATGCATGTACACATTAATAATAATTAGCTTCTCGGGTTGCTCTGCAACTAATCTTGGGTTTGATCTTGAAAGGTGCAGCTGTACAAACGGACAACATCTATCATCTTTTATGGGACAGACTTCCGGGCATATGAGGCGCCTCTCCCTCGTCTCCACCACCAAACCTGGGCACTGTTCCACGAAGAGTCACCTATGAATAACTATGTCCTCTCTCATGGGCCGGGAATCCGGCCGTTCAATTACACCGCTACGTTTCGCAGGGAGTCAGACTACCCCTTGACCCTTCAGTGGCTTCCTTCTCTGGAGTACTTGCTGGAGCCTGTCGCTGTGTCCTTGGAAGAGAAGAACCTCCTGAGGAGGGAGGGTCTGGCTCCAGTGCTCTACATGCAGTCTCACTGTGATGTACCGTCAGACAGAGACAGATATGTAAAGGAGCTCATGAAGTACATAAAGGTAAAGTGCAGAATAATTCAGCTGTGTAATAACCACAGTCAAAGAGATTATGGTCCTGTGTTTTTTGTTTTTTTTTTAAATGAAAGATATAGCGGTCCGTTACCCTTAATTTTTTTTTTCTGCTTTACACAAATGCCGAGATTCTTTCTCAGTGGTAAATATCTCTTCTTATTTTATTACACACTGCCCAGCAGATTAAAATCACTAATCTTTGTGCTTCCAATTGTAGTAGCAAATGTGTAAATGTTTTGTATAGAAAATACTCAGTGGAACAGCCAAATCTGTCATTGTGTAATAATTAATCTGTTCCCAGATATGCCCTAACTGTGTCTCCCATCTTTCCAAACATTATCTCTGTGTAGATCGATTCTTATGGGAAATGCTTGAACAACAAACCCCTACCAGAATATCTGGAGGACACAGCCACTGCTACCGGTGAAGAACCAAAATTCATGAATTTTGTGGCGCGCTACAAGTTCCACCTGGCTCTGGAGAATGGCCTGTGTCCAGATTACATGACTGAAAAGCTGTGGCGGCCTCTACACCAGGGGTGCGTTCCCATTTATCGAGGTGCCTCCGCGGTGGCGGACTGGATGCCCAACGACCGCTCGGTGATCATCATAGATGACTTCACCTCACCCCAAGCTCTTGCCGACTTCCTCATACATCTGGACGAGAATGACGATGAATATGCTAAATATTTAAAGTTCAAGAACCCCAGCCGCATCACTAATACTCGTTTGCTAGAGTCACTGAAGACCCGCGAGTGGGGGGTGAATGACATGAGTAAACCCAACTACCTGAATGGATTTGAATGTTACGTATGTGACCAGGAGAATGCTCGATTAGCTGCAGAGCATGCACATAAAAAGGCCCCTAAGACAAATCAACCACCTCGGCCTAAAATGGCTAATAACTCTCACATGGGTTGCCCGCTCCCCAGTCCGGGATATGGAGACGTCAAAGACTTACCTTCAGATGATGGGTGAGTTTGTCTTTAAATGAACAACAGCACCAGGTGTGAACACAATTTTTTTTTTTTTCCCTGCACTGAAATGTGAACAATAATGTCCTGCGGGGAGTGAAATCGGTCTGTTTTAATAGTCTAATTAAAATATCCTCTGTGATGAGCCTAATCTGTTTGTTTATCTGTCTGCAGATGGTTGCAAATATGGCCTCAGGATTACTGGCAGAGCCTCGACCAAGCAGAGGGGCTGGAGTCTCTGATAAGACACAACGAGTCAGACCCTTCTCTGCTGTGGAAGCACATCCAAAGCATTGCTGTGAGCAGAGCCAAAGGAAAACACTGACACAGGCCTTGAAACAAACAGAGGATGGAGTCCGTCCAGGATTATAGGAGTGCCCCAGATTATGTATTCCCCCCTCTTGTTTAAATGAGGGAACGAAGTACACATTGCTCATAGTTTTGCACCCAAGCCAACCCCACCCCCTTTTTACCCATGTGAGTAGTTTAGTTATCCTGAAACAAATTTTGCTATTTTGTTGAGCTGACATTAAACTTTGCCTTCATCCCACGCTCAGTAATGGGAAAATAACATTCTAGACTTTTATAAGCGAATATTTTCCAACCGGTTTTATCACCGTAGCTGAGTTTCCATTATATTGCCCATAGTTAGTATTAACTACTTGGAGGACCATTGTCCCAAATGGGCACACTCTCATGGGATGCGCCTTTTCATTAGACTGGGGCAGAGCCAAAGACTTGTCCTCTGTACCGTGGGAGCTCTGCCTAACTGTGTGTGAAGACCATCAAGACGGTAGCCAAATGACTGCATCAGCTTCTTTACAGTTACTCAGCAGGTAGCTGATGGCTATTAGCTAAAATCCCATTTAGATGCAAAGCTATTGTGACTATGCAAGGAAAATATTATTTTGCCAAGCAGAGGAGAGGTGCAAATGTAAATTTAGTACAACCTCGCATTGGGATGTTACCAGAATTCTCAGGATCAGCTCAGCTTGGAAAAACTCTGATTTTTATGTTAGAATATCACCTTGTCTGACAATTTTCTGTTACATCATTTAGGATCATGTGCAATAACTACCAATCATTCTTTTCTGAAACACTCTTGACTCATGTATCTGGTAGCAAACTACTTTTATATGACATGGATACACCAGGATTATAGAAATTGTTTTATTTTGCTAACAAAGCATCATACATGCAAACACTATTTTGTATCAAGAAGAGCAAAAATTAAGTAAACATTTTGTAACCAAGTTCTTTTTTTATTTTATTTCCTATTGTTGCTAAATTCTTGTATCCCTCTCACCAGTATTAATCTGTTCACATCCGTGTGTGATGTTGGACAGACGTATCCTTCATAGTAAACCGAAGCAGATAAAGCTTTCACCACCATCAAAACACAACGCAAGGTTTTAAAATATGTCATTATCAAGTTTAAGAAATCATACTCGCCGGTCACTTTAAGCTACATGAATCAGGAGTTCAAACAAATGCAGTGCAAACTTTGAAAAAAAGAGCAGTTCTCGCTTTGTGCGCGAATTAACATGACAGAAAGGAGAGAGAGGAGGTCTGCGAAGCTCTTGATGATCAGATGGCCCTGTAGCAGGTCTCGCAGTGGACTTTCCCACCGTGCAGGAACATACTGTGGAGAAGGTCTCCCATGGGTTTCTTACACATATCACACTGAAAGATAAGAAAACCACGTGATAACGCCTTGATGAGAAATGTTTGCAGGAAAACGATTTGAGCCACAAAAACGTAATTATCTGGTTAAACTTGCCTGGACTGGCAATAACAACAAATATGATTATTATTATTTAGGAAAAAAATTATTCATTGTATCTGACTAAATTACCTTGAAGCAGGAAGGATGGCAGTTGATGTTGAGGTGCTCAATGGTAATCTTGGCATCATTTCCCACCTGCTCTCCGCAGTATGTACAGGTAGATGACGGTGGGATCCTGGAGTAGCTGATTGAGAAAAGATAAGTTGATCACTGAATCAGGAACAGGTACAGTGCACTGAAGCTCAGTCTGGTTGAATAAGATATTTGGAGTCCTATGTGAGGGAAATTAATAAGTGTAAATAATCCTTTGATGTCCATGCTCAGCCTCTTAATGAGCAGGCTTGGTGGAATTTCTGCCCTTCTGCTTGCACGTATCTAGTTTTGTCAGTAGCGGAAATAACAAAGTGGGGGAGAAAGAGCTGCGGCTTATAGCTGTGGTTGCGGCTTTAAAACGCGTTTAGGGAATAGTCTTGTTTATGGAGGTGCCGTAGGGATAACCAAGAGGCTACACATGCTCAGCACTCGAAATATGTAACTGAAATATGTCAAATAGTGTAAACGGTAAAACAAATGCTAGTAGTTGCGATAGAGATACTAAAAGAAGAAGGTGAAATGTAAGCACCATGGCAACCCCCACAGACTCACATGTTAAAATAATAAAAAGGAAAAAAACAAAACGTGTTTACAACCTGGTACAAAAAATGTTTGTCTTTTTTATCTCCTTGAAAACTGCAGGTGCTCAGTCATAACTGCTATCTGTCTTCGAAGCAGAATCTCAGCTGATTCATGTCACTGAATTTCTCAACTGTGTCTACAGAATCTCTGTTTTTTGGAGCATTTTTTAGTCTGCCAAAATTGGATAAAATATGGCTTGCTTTGTGATTAATTGTACCAAACAGCAAGCCACCCAAGAAGCCTGTGCTCAAGTTGTTTTTCAGTTGTTGTGTTTTTTAATTAGGTGAATTTCTAATACTCTTTTATTTTTGTCAGTGCTTATTAGCAGGTATCCAGAATTGTAAAATAGAGTTTATGGCTCCAACCTGCCAAACAGGCTATCAAAATACTGTCAATTTTGAATACAGGAAATAAAATGTAGCCAAAATGCCAAACAAGCATTTTAGCCCTTGCATGCTGTTTGAAGCCAACTTGACTTAATGTGACAGCAGTAAAAATACCTAAATATCATTCTCCATCTATTCTCCTCTGCTTATCCTTGTCATAGTTGCAGGGGGGCAGGAGCCTAGCCCAGTGTATGTATGTATGTATGTGTACATATATATATATATATATATATGTACACACACACATACATTTGTGTATATATAGTTCAAACTTTGATAGAGAGACGTCTAGGTCTGGTTCAAAAGTGAATGTGCAGTATTTTCCTGCCATAGGTTAAAATGTTGCTCTATAAGATTTATTCCTGAAACATGTTCAGATTTATAAACAGTGATTCCAGCTGAAGTACTTGAACTGTGAGAACTGAAAATGGACACAGTAGCAGCAGGTTAAACTTACACAGCTAAAAGGGTTTGAAGTGTAATTAGGAAGGAGTTTTGAGAAACCCATGAATACAGTTTAAATGACATTAGTGGGGGGAAAAAGCTGAACTGCCATTTAAAGAGCAAGAAGTGAAAGCAGTTAAAGTATTGAGAGAGAGGCAGAGCTCAGATTGTGTTATTACCTGGAGTAAAGAGATGGGCTGCTGTAAGAATAGCTGGTGGAGCTTGAAGTCAGGTAATCTGACCTACTATTGGAAACAAGATCAATGAGTAAATCATCATGAGGGCAGTGCTTGCAGTTTTTTAAAGCAGTATTTTATATCAATATGGCAGTTGACTGTAAATAATTTATTGGCCCCACCTATTGAGCGTGTCTCTGGGGTTCTGCGTTGCATTGACATACTCCTTCACAAACACAAACGGCCTTAAAGGAGAGGCAAAAGGTGGGTTAATACACATAGCTCAAATATATACACAATTGTGGTCAGAGGTTTGCATATACTCATCATGGGTATGAATTTCATGATGATTTTTTTTTCAAGGGTGGAATGATTGCATGACATACATCTTTAATGGCTTGAAAAAAATTGGATACACAACATAAATATTTTAATAAGTAGTCCTAAAGCTTCAATGCCTTTTAACTTGACAAGCCAAAGCTCGCTAACTTCTCATTAGTGAACATGACTGACTGGTAGTTTCTCTTTGCCAGCATAAAAAGGATTTGTTTTAATAATACTCATTGGACTGACAAATACTCAGATGTTCACTGAGTTCCTTGGACTTTTCCATTGTTCCAAGAAGGAGAATTGTAGATTCACATAAGTTGAGAGCGTCTTTGGAAGCCATTTCTAAACAACCGCAGATTCCAGGTTCATCAGTTCAATCACCACTTTGCCAAAATCCAGAAGAAGACTCAAACTATCACAAATTGCTCCTGCTCCAAAATCGACATTTTCAAACTTGAGTGAAATTTGCGGTTGTCCTCATGGACAGATCAAATGCTTTCAGGAGAAAAAGATTTATGGCCAGACAAGACAAAGATTGAGTTATTTGGTCATAATGATAAGAGGTATATTTGGAGGAGTCAAAGGTGAGGCTTTCAAACCTAAGAACGCTGTCAAGCATGATGGTGGTAGCATCATGCTCTGGGCTGGTTTGCTGCTAGTGGTACTGGTACACTGCACAAAGTGATTGGAATAATAAAGGAGGACTACCTCCAAATTCTTCACCTTTACATCCAACCAACAGCTAGATGGATTTAATGTGGACACAACTGGCTGTTACAACAGGACAATGATCCCAAACACACATCAAAACTGGTTTTGAATGGATAAGGCAGGCTAATATTATGGAATAAGCTTCCCAAAGCCTTGACCTCAGTCCTATTGAAAATTTGTGGAATAGGATTAAAAGCCGGGTCCTTGGTAGCAAACCCAAGCAATTTAAAATAACTCCAATTCTTTCAAGAAGAGCGGTCACATATCCAGCCAGAATTATTCCAGAAGATTGTTCATGCCTACCGAAAGCATCTGAGTGTAACTGGCTAAGGAAAATTTAACCAAATATTAGTGGACGTGTATGTACATATGTCTGAGCCTGTGTATGTATACTTTTCAACAGTTCAAAGAAACAATTTAAAGCCCCAAATTATCTTGACGTTTACACCCGCCATGAGTGTATTCAGGATTTTGACCACAATTACATATGCTGTCAATCCAAATTAAATGTATAGTTTGTACAGTCACTCACTTTTTGGTTTCAGGCTCTGGGGTTTTGACTCTCTGCTCCTCTTCTCTTATGGTCCTGGAATAGGTATCAAAACTGGAGACATGCAACGTGCAGCAACATTAGTCTCATCTTTTACTCAATGATGGCATTACAGTGATGGGTTATAGAGAAAGACCCCACATCTGTCAAATGCAGCCCAGGAGATAATCACTTCTGCCACTGCTTGTTAATGACAGGCTGGTTAACGGGCTGTGATTTGACAAAAGGACATCTTTAATACACATCATTATTCTGACATCTGGAGGCTGATAATTAGAGGGAAGGAAATGAGGGCAAATTGAAAGACAATGGAAGAGCAGATCTTGTCATTCAACTTCAGTAATAGAGTTGAAATGGAAATCTGTCTAACCGGGTGTCATGATGGAGTTACGGGTAACTTTCATGGATGACTTTCAGTTACTAACCATTTTCAGTTACGCCTACTAAAAATGGCTGCGTTACAAAGAGACAAAAGCAGATCCAGAAGGTGAAAGCGTAACACAAACCCACACGTGCTAAATATTCGATGGCGTGCATTTGTTTTTAGATACATTTCATAAAATAACCATTTATTCCACTCGTTGAAGAACAGGTAAATGTAAGTTTCATGCAACACCGCACCATTGCTCAAATTTCTAGAGGCATGAAAGGATTTAAAAAGAAAAAAAAAAGGGCAAGCCAGTGTTGTTACGAAAGTGAGAAAATCAACAGACGAGAGAGAAAATAACCCTCTGCATTACGCTGTCTGACTTTACAAGATCATAAACTTACCGATCCATGGAGGGCTCAGGCTCACTGCGTATCTCCCTGGAAAGTAAAGAAAACAGTGTTAGACTTTTATAGTAGGCTGAAGCAGTCAATAAGCTGGACGCAATCCAGTAAGCGAGACCGCTGCATTTTTAAAAAATGTGTATGAAACTGATCTTTCTGGCTCACAGCTCCACTAGGGTCACGGTTTATTGACCAGATGTGGTCTGCTTTATATAGTACTGCACCACTGCCTGATCTGAGGCCCTCCTCCCAAGCAGTGTGATTGTAACCTCCACTTATACATCTTCTCATGCTCTTAACCTGAGCCCTTCTAATCTCTACAGTTTTCAATCTCAATACGCAAAAAAACTCTTTTCCCTACCTGATGGTAGTGATAGTTGTGACCGTTTGTGTATCCTCAGTGCTACAAAAGAGACAAAATTCCTGCATTATAATGAGTTTGTACAGGTAAAGATAAGACAATATTAAAGTTTTAAAAGAAAAAAAAAAAGAACAAGCTGAAAAAGTTAATTATTCTCCGACTGAGCCGGGAGGATGTTTCATCTTGTGTTCAGCTTTCTTTCAATTAAATGCTTGACAGCCACTGAATTTTAAGGTGCTATAATCACATCCTACTAAAATAGTTTCAAAAAGGTGCTTTAATGTGCATTTAATGAGCTCAACCATACCGAAGATACCTTCCCTGCTCCTCTTCTTGCTTCTCTTCTTCTTCTTCTTCGTCGTCGTCCTCCTCCTCTTCTGTGGGGATGGTATAGACAGTCGGTGATGTCCATCGGTCCCACGGAGAGTCATTCTCAAGGGACCTTGAAAACAAACAAACAAAGACATAGCAGCATTGGAAGATGGCCGGTTCACATGATGTTTATTCTTCCAAAGACAAAAAAGGTAGAGGGGGGAGGGGGGGGGGTGTTTACCTCAGTTGTGAGGGAAAGTTGTAACAAATATATGTCTGACCTATTTTCATCAGCGCCAGTGCACAATGTCTTCCGACTCGGTGAGCAAGGCGCTGCAAGAGTCTCGCTACTTCACCGCGGTGAAAAGGGAGGAGGTTACAGAAATAAAAAGGAGCCAATATCCAAGATCACTTACTTCCTCTCAAACATGATGACTGTCTGTTGATCTTCAGCTTGGCCTTCTGCTTCTGGTTGCGCTTCTTGGCTGAGAGGGGAGAGACATTGAAAGGCTTTTAACACGCAATGGACACGGATGGGTGAAAGTAGATGAATGAAGCACAGAGTGTATAGTGTGGGGGTGCAAAAGTACATCAAAGCATGTCATCACCTCTCCTCTGTGTTCGACTCCTGGACTGTGTTGGTTTCCCATGACCGCTGAGTGCTGATGTTAAAACAGCCAAAGTGGGGAGAGATAGCAAGAGGGAGAGGGAGAGGGGGAAAGGATTTGGGAATTGTGACAGATGAAGCACATCAGACAACGCTCAAGCAGGAAGGTTTGAGAAAAAGATTTCTGTGGGTCTGCACTTTCCCTTCCACTCCCATTTCTCAATCATAGATTCGTCACAGAAGTATGCAGCTGAGTTGGTTCAATACCTTGTTTTGTCAGTGTTGAAAGGGATGATGTCATCTGCAAGGGACCGCAAGGCATTACTGCCCATACTGTCAGACACACAAGAGAGAAAGCCATCAGCATGGCTCACTCACGAGTATTTCTTTCTTTCGTTCTTTTTCTTACATTTGCAGTTTAGTTTCCTATAATGAATCATTTCAGGGGCAACTTTGTTTCAGGTGCCAGAGAACGTTTCTACAGATTTCCCAATGGCAGGCAATCTCCCTTTCCTCACAGTTCCAGTGTAATTGGTGTGTAACTGTATGAATGGGTGCATAAAAAACTCATTGTGGAGGACTTTGTAGAACCCCCTAATGCTAAAAATGTCCCCAATACTCACAATATTAATTTTTCTTAAGCTGAAACATGTAAGCAATAACAAACTTATTTTGTTTCTGAGCTCTTTTCCATTAAAGCAGGTAATGCACTAAAATTAAAATTAAAACAGAAAACAAATAAGTAAATCAGCTTGAGCATGTCAATAGATCCAGACTCCTGGTGCTTCTTGCATCACATCTACTGATTATGAATAACAATTCTCGCATTAGCTTACAAACGAAAGCAGTTGTAGTAATGAGGAAACCGTGTGCTAACATCGGCGCCACAAACAGAGGTTACAGTATCGAAAAAGGGAATTTGCATTATCATTCCCGTACCTGTTGATGGAACTATCAGAGAGGGGCTGGCGCAGGTCAGAGGAGCTGGAATAGAGAAAAGTGTCTCATAATCAGAAACTGCTGAATTATGCATGCTGAGATGCTATCTGTCTTGCAGGAAAACAGTCATAGCTCCAAACCAATATGATTACCTGTTAGGGGATGTGGTCCCTATCGGATATGGATCAAATGGATCAGCCGAGCTGAAAAACAATTTCACACTGATTTCACTCTCAATTGTCAGCGTTGCCCATCTTGTGTCGAAGGAATTCTGATCACATTGACTCATAATGGAAAGATTTAATGCAGTTTGAATGGTAAATAGAAACACGGAGGGACGTGGGGCAAAACTCAATAAAAATCAGAATCAGGATGTTGCTGACAAATGGAAACACTATTCCACTGCTGAACAGCAAAATCTGCGGACTTCAGGATTTCTTCACCTAAGATTAACCCTTGAACAATTACACCAACCCGGTCATTTATATTACCAAGCTGGAGTGAAACCGTGTGTTATTATTTACTATTTTTAAGCACACTGGTTTGCATGTGACATGTGACAGTAAATAAACTACCTTGATTTAGTGACTACGGTTGTCACTGTTGTCACACGTGAGCTCCAGGGATCCGCATTGTCCTCTTCACTGCACAGCGGTGAGATAGAAGTAAGGAGGGCGGTACGGATGAATGGCATGATGGGAAGAGAAGAGAGGGCAAGTAAAGGTTAGTGTGGTTGTTCTCATACACTATTTAAAATGCCTGTCCTTTAGTAAAGCTCAAGATGCACTGAACTATTTAGCAATCACAAAAACCATCTGAATAAAGCACAGACTATAGCTTTGTATGCTGTCATGCTTTTTTAGGTAATGATCACAGTTTGGTCATTATAGTGACTCTGTGTCTCTGTGGGGTTCGCTGGCAGCATAGCTGCAGGCAGACTTGTTATAAATCATTACAAGCCGTGTGTATGGAATGCATTTCTTGGAAGGAACAGTTCTGCATAGATAGATAATTGTTTAAGAGCAGCCTGTCATCTCCCGCTACCTTTGTGTTTCTTTGGCTGTCTTGTCTGTCTGCTTCTCCTCCTCTCGCTGCATGCTGAGGCTGGTGGAGACAAAACAAAGCAGCAATACTAATCAGTACAGAGCATTCCCTTCTATTTCCAGTCGTGCTGCAGATGAAAGCTGGCTTTCCCTTTCAAAGTCAGTCGTTTCAGGAATTTGAGACTTTGGTTCTATTTAACGTGGAGCAGGAGGTTAAAATAGAAAATGCCAAACGGGAGCGGAGCCCTGCTTTGTGGATCAAACTGAAGGAGGGTTTATCAAAGTCTTTCAACTCAGCAAGCCGGGATCTTATTAATAATAAGGATGCATAAGCAAGGAGGGTGAGATGGGAGGAGAAGCCGGTCTGTCTCTTTCTCACCTGTGTGCCTCTGTGCCTCTTACAATGACATCATTTGCCAGAAGATCCAGAGTGCCGCTGGTCTTCACTGGGTTTGGCTTACTAAAGACATGAAACAGAAAATTGAAATATGGGGGAGAGTTCTCTTGAAACTCTACATCCAACTCTGGAAAGGTAAGCTGAGGTGGTATTTTGGTTTGCTACTGACAAGGAAGTTATTTTTACTCTTTTTTTTTTTCTTAGGAGAAAGAATTCTTCCTCTACCTGTCCATTCCACCAAGCAGATCCTGACTCCAGCGTCCTGGGCTGGGGGGAACAGGCTCTGCTGGCTCCTCTGGACTGCAGATGTAGAAAGAGGAGAGGAAGAGGAAGCAGAGAAGTTGATGAACAAAGGGGGATTTACGATTCAGTGGAGATTTCAGAGCTAGAACAGGCCAGTTGAGGTAAAGGACGGGCAGATTATAAGAAGCCCAACAGTGCCACCTTGTGAGAGCTATTCAAATATTTGCCACCGTGACAACTTTTTAATTGCGCAATTGTAACAATGTATTTTTAACAAACCCATCAGTGAAACCCAGGAGATCGTCTGTTATTGGTTCACAGTTGTTGAGCTCTGAATCTGGCTTCTGTTCAGCACTGCAGTACAGGAGAGGAAAAGATATATTAGTGCACCTGCTTTGGCAAGAAAGCATATATCTCTATATCAAATGTTTAAGTGCCACACTTAATCAGGCATAATTAGAGACACCCCTTGGTATCAGGCTTTTTGAGCGCCTGAAAATGAGATGTGCATTATTTTGTAATTACTTTGAAGGGAGCTCAGTGGCAGTTAGCCCTCATCAGTTTTCTTGCCAACACTGCTATGACAATAATGAGGAAGTTGTTGGTTTTATACCTGTTCTCTGTGGGGTGATCGTCCGCTGAGTCTCCTTTTTGGTTTGCCAGGGCTTCCTCATCATTCTTAAAGCTACTGAGGAAAAAGAAAAAAAAACAAAAGCTCTTATTATCAGATGGCATATTGTTGAGGCTGTGGGAACTAATGTGTCACTGCATTTCTGGTTTCTCCGGCTTTCATCTTTCTCTTCTGGAAGTACCTGGATGAACTGGTGTCGAAAGAAATCAGAGTGTTGGACAGAGCAGGGAGCGTGTCAGCAGCGGAGCTGTGAAACAAGATGGACAACAAACACATCACATTCCAGAGCAGCTTTGAATTACACATGTGAAAGAATGAGAGCAAACACACCTAAACAAAGAAAACCACTTAAACCACTGAAAGCATATTTTCATAACAACCATAGCTTTGCTTACAAATCATGCTCGAGGCTCATTATATACGTAGGTAGTTTTATGTTATATTGCTGGAGTGGTAGAAGCAGTATTAAGAGCTTTTACTTAAGAAAATAAAAGTAAAATTACATCCGGAGAAATATTTCCAGCTAAAACAGCTTTAAATACCCCAAAGTAAAACTACTCCAGGCAGATGAATGGTCCCTGTGAGGTTTTTATTGCTGTACTCTACATTACTGGAGCACTAGAAAGGACACATTAATGTGCAAGGAGAATTTTACTCTTGGAGCTGGTCTAAGTGGAAGTAATTTAGCTTCCGTTTCTAATGTTTCTTAGTGTGATCTTTAACAATCCACTGAATAAAATTATACTATGTTGATCTTTGTCTGTAAAATACCAAACCAAATGCCATATAAAGCAAATAGTAAGTTAATAGGTTATATAAGCTTAAATAAATTGTTATGTGCAATTATAGATCAACACAGTTACATTAAAGTGCAAATTCATTCAAGAGCTAGTAACATAACACCCGAGTTTATTCCATTCCACTTGTTGATGCTACAAAATGTGCCAGGACTGAATGGAAATCTGACCTTGGTTTTGGAGGCAATTTAGTCTGTGGCTCTGGTTCCATTTTGGGTTCAGGTTTTGTGTTCAGTCCAGATTCTGTTACAGCAGGCACTGGGACAGGTGACTTGGTGACAGTGGAGGTTGGGACAGAGGACACTTTAACATCTGATTTTTCAGGGGTTGAAGCCACATCAGGGGACACAGGAGCAGGCGACTTGGTGACAGTAGAGGTCGGGACAGAAGACACTTTGACATCCAATTTTTCAGGAGTTGAAGTCACATC